GGGGAGGAGGAATCAAAGCCACCCACGCGCTCGGCATGGAGGGGAACGGCGGAGACGGTTTATGTGCCAAATATTTCTGCTCAGATTTGATGTTTATGGTCCTGGCAACCTTGACGACCACGTGAATGAAAAAGATGTGTTTGCTTTGACTTGCGCCGAAGACAGCAGTGGCAGGGTGACACGCCGCCCATGGGGAGAGGGGTCCTGCACCCCCAACACTGCTGCAAATCTCAGCAAATCCCTGCCGACCCCTGTGTACCATGGCAGCCAGGCCAGCCTGCACCTCAGTCCAGCCAGGGGTATGGCAAACTTGGGAGGCTGCTGCCAGGAACAGCTGGACGTGCTCGGGGCCAGCAGGTACGTGGTCCCCAGCACGGGTGACTCAGTGCTTGAAAATCTCATATAGCTCAGGATGCCCCGAGCCACAGACAGCAGCAGAGCTGAGAAAACATCCTATATTCTCCCCTCAGCTCTTAAACGTGTTCCTAAACATCCACCGGCAACCGCTGGTTGGGCGGCTCTTTTTCATGGAAAGTTTTACTTGGCTTTAATTAGATAAACCCTACTTGAAATTCCAGTAAATATTTACAAGACGCAATTTCAGCTGATAAAAATCACACGGTGCTGGTAGCTCAGACTTTCCTACGCAGTGCTTACATCGGGCATCGCTCACGCTGGCGGTCGCTTGGGTTTTGCTGATTTCTGAAACTCACATTGGGAGCAAAGCTCAGGGCAGGAGACATGTCTTGCCTGACCGATAAGGGCAAGGACTAGGCAACTACTGCCCCAAAATTGTGACCATCAAGTCAACGATACAAAAGGAGGGCCACCTATGAGAATAAGGACAGTGGAGAAACACCCTAACGAGAAAAATCAACCAGCAAAGTAGAGAATTTTTTAAAAGTCTAAACATTTGTCTTATAAAGCCACACACCCACACATTTTATCTTTGTGAAACAAGACGTCGAGATGTTAAGAGACAGGACAAACAGACAAGGTTAAGGCAGCTGGTTGAAATATGGATGACTCAGATTTATTAACAAAGCTATGAAGAGACTTGGGAAAAAAAAGTCAGCATTTGGAAAGAAGTGTCTGATCTCCCTAGAGCCAGCCATTCCCCTCCAACTATGGATTTATATGCCCAAACAAATAGCTGCTGTGCCCTGTGGAAAGCCAACGCTGGAGGCAGGTTGCGGGCAGATCTGGGGTCAGATCCTGCACCACTACTTGCGTGGCAAACACTGCCCTCCCAAAATAGGGACCTTGCAGAAAATTCAGGCTCTACCCACATTACTTTAACAGAGTGTCTGACCCTTGAAATTGTCTTCGATCGCATATTCTTAGCACCTGGTGTAAAAAAACCACGAACGATGGGAAACGGTTATTGGGTCTTCACCGGGGATAATCCCAGGCTGTGCAACTGCTCTGTTCCCAGTCCAGGCGGTTCCCCTGCCCAAAGAGCCCTAAATCTCATTTCACATTCAGCATCTTGCATACAGAAAAATGCAGCCACTGGAGGAATTTCAGCTGCCATGAAATCTCTCTCATCACAGCTCCTCAGCAGCCAGCACCGCAGCAAATCCATTAGCAGCCTGCTGGCATCCCTTCGGTGTTAGGAGGGTTTTGGGACCTGCTGGGGAGTTTCTTTCCTAAAGGAGGGAGTGAAACAAAAACCCAAAGGCACACAGACCTCTGTCCCCTCCAATGAGGAGGAAAACATTGCAGGTTTAGATTTTAAAGAGCCATGAGGAACGGGGCACAGAGGGAGATGCTGGCGGCTGCCCAGTGCTTAAAGCGTAGTGTGGGAGCTCAGTCCCAACCTGCACATCCTCAGCTGAGCAAAGTTGGTTGTTTAGTCATTCCCAGTCCATGGGTATGGCCACAGCATGCCCAGAGCAGGGCCTGCTCCTGCTTCTGCAGCTGGTCCAGAGCAAATGGACCCATTCTCCTCTTCCATAGGGTATTTTCCATCCTCTTTTCAACACCACATCAATCTCGTCCTTGAAACCTGCTGCTAGGTACAAGCTCTGACTTGGGCTTGCAAAAATGTACGGAAAGCTTTTATCAGAAGAGCACTTGCTCTTCAGAGATACACACTCCTGACGATGTTTTACGAGAAGTTTGAATGACAAACCAAAAGGCAAGATTTTATTTTGGGTTTTAAAGCAGACAGTCATGTAGAAACCAAGACAAGGTATTTTTGAGCTGCTTCCAGCTCCGGAGCTATTGAGGTTCCTCATTTTCATCTATAAACAATTGAAAAAACCAAACCACCATACAGCACAGGCTGAGTGGGCTGTAGGTTATTAGCAACCAAGACTAAAAATGGTTAGAGAAAGAATATGTTAGCTACCAGGCAAACGGCATAAACCTTCAGAAGGCTGATGAATATTCATTGATGTGATGCATCAAAATCAAAACATGGCTCCCTGGCAGGTTGTCGGGAGCTGCAGACAGCGCAGATAGCACCGTCAGAACAAAGTCCAGCTACACAGCCTTCTGCTTTCCTGAAAATCCTACAGAAATTGGTTATTCATGGAGAAAAACTGACAGCCCCTGGCAATGTGGAGGCTTGCATTAAGGAGAGCAGAAGGGACCAGCTCCTCACAGCATCACATGTTAAGTGTCCTGCTCCTACCTCCCATTTATACCTTGGAGCACTAATTAGATCAATAAATTTAAGTCAGATTGCGATCTAATGGTGCCTTCTGGCCTTTACTATTGAGCAGGCCAACATAAATTAAGTTTAATTGCCCCTATATGTACAGAGCCAGGGAAGATAGGATGAGAAGGGTCATTGAGGGAACTTCTAGCCAAACCCCAAGTCCCAAGGAAGGACTGATGGGGCTGAATCATTCCCAAACAACTTTGCTTTCACAGAAACAAGGGTGGAAATGTGTGTGTGACAGGGTCAGCCTGGAAGCCCAGGGAGAAGAGGATGAGGAGGAAGAGAAAGCATTTAGCCCACACGTGCCACCAGGACTGAGCGGCATCCACACACAGGGCAGAGGCCATGGGCTGCAGCTCAGTGATGCACGGACAGATGAGTTTTGTTGTTTTCCTCAGCCCTAAAAAAAAAGCATCAAGCCTACATCGCCCTGAGCAGTGCTTAAATGAAATCAGTCATTAGGAGAAAATTGGACCCCAGTGTCGCTTCCGCCTTTGCTTTAAGGAAAGGAGAGCAGCAATTACCACTTGCATATTAAACAGCCTCCTCGGCAAGCTGAATTAGCCTGCGTGGAGCAATGTGCTGCCAAAGCCTGTCTGTGACCGATGCTCCAACAAGCTGGTTTAGAGCCAGCACCCGTATTGCAGCGTTGCGGTCTGCAGCCTAAAAATACCCAGCAAGGGTGCAAACACAGGCAAAGGAGCACGCACACTCCCCTTCACAACCGCCTCCAAACCCGCCCAGAAGCTAGGAGCTAAATCCTCAAATATGAATATTAGCATGTTGTTTTTCTGGCTCCTCTACCGTCCCCTCCCAAAACAAGGATGCAAGATCCTGAGCGAGCTCTTTCTCAACGGGGAGCTTTACTTCAGTGCATTACACAAGGGGACAGTATTTTTGTGCAGTAATGCTCACTGATCGTCTGCTGAGCCCTGACCAATTTCAGCACCTTGGGCCGCACCAAGCTTTGCCTCCCCCCACCCTGCCGAGTTTCGGCGCAGCCTGGGATGCTCCCGATCGATGGAAATTTTCTGACTCTCTTCCATCGCTGCAAAGTGACCTCCTTGGCTGGCGGTGATCGGGAGGCGCTTGGCCTCAGCGGGCAGTTTTGGAAGACACTGTCACCCGCACCAAATGCTAGCACCGGGTGTCCTGGACCACTTTTTACAGCACGTAGAAGGCAGAAATTTGGCATCCCACACCCTACGCTTGTCCCATCCCACCGCTGAGCAATGGTGCGCCCTCCCTTGGTGCTTCTCCCCATGCATATAACACCCAGTGCAGCGTGCAGTGGCGGGATGCGCATCAAACCCACTAAATACCTCGCATCATTTTTTTAAACAAACAATTCTGCCCATCCGATCAGGCAGCAGCATTTGAGCTCGTCCCTTTCAAGCACAAGAAGTGCTGCTCTGTTTCATGTTTGCACCAAAGCCCGTGGAAAGAAACGCTTTTCAATGAGGCATATCCAAGCATTATTTAATTTTAAAAATAAAGGTTTTGAAATTGAGCCCTTGTGTGGATGAAAAGCTCAGAAACAGGATTGCCTTCCACTAAGCAGGCGCCACCTTCCCTCCAACACAGAAGCCTGAAGGACCTGAGCCCATCACCAACACTTCCAGCACGGACCCTGCGCAGAACACGGTGCTGGTATACCCAGTACAGCCATTCTTGTTAAAAGCCACCAGGATGATTTTTTGGCCACGAGCTCCCATATTCATTTCCCTTCTCCAGCGTAAAGCTGTTTTCATGCAGAGGCTGCACAGGAGGGAAATGTTTGTGTTTGGTGCAAACCCATCTGTATCAGCAAGAGGAGGAAAAACCCCCAAACACTTGGCTAAAAGGCTTTAAACTGTTTGACTACTGGCTTTTCTCCCTCCATCCATCCGTGAAACAGCAGCCGCAAGAGGGGATGGGGACAAGACCCTTCCCGTGAAGCCGCAGGAAAATCAGCTGCCAGGAGGAGCCTGACTCATAACTAAATCACACCAGCCATAATTCTCAGCATAAGCAAATCTCAAAGACTCGGGTTTCATGGATTTATAAATACATCTGCCAAATCCTGAATTACCCCAGATCCTCCTCCCCCTTCCCAGAAATCCTGTTAAACTCCATGAACCCAACGAAGGGGGTTTTGCATCTCCAAATCTTGCTTGGGCTGCCCAGTACCCAAAGGATGCTGGCAGGAGCTGGCTGTAGTCGCAGGCTCTCAGCTTGCCCCTGGAAAGCCCC